TTATATTTTTAGCTTTGTCTTTTATTGTAATTTGTCTCCAACTCAGAACTTAAGTATTTGTGTTTCCTTCAATTTACTGGGTAAAATAAGAAGTGTTGACCTTAATTTTCTACTCATGAGTAGCTACTCACCAGGCGAGAAACCTTGCTGTAATGGACAAGTGACATGAAAGGTCGTAATTATGTGCAAAATCTTTCAGTTTTCTAGAAAACTGTGTCCCGTTATCAGATCTCACACCTCTGGAATATTGAATCTAGAAATCAGTTCTTTCATTTCAGAAAGCTACTTAAGCTACTTAATTCTAAAATCTTCAAATATCGAGAGTAATTATCAACTATGATCATACTTTTATCATTTTTCATGTTTGAAAAAGTCTACTGCAACTTTCTGCTATGGTCTATTCACTGTTTTGTCTTTGTGAAAAGTTTCTTTGATATTTTGTCAATTCTCAATGCAACTAGGGCATTTTTTCACCAGATTTTATATTCTAGCATGCTCACGACATTTAACGATGATCTAGCCATCTGGCCTGTGGAAATGGATTACACAACTTTCAACGGTGAGCTTTCAGGAACTATTTCGCGTATCTTTAAGGAATAGATTCTCTGAATAAGGAATATCGTATTTATATTGATAGTAAGGACAAAGTTCCGTTGGTAATTTCGATTTTTCTAGCCCAAATAGAATATTCTTTGATTAGCGCTCATATTTACATATCGACTTCAACCTTTAACTCATCATTCAACCTGTAAACTTATGTAATTTGATACTCGATACTCGATACTCGAAGTATACAGGGTGTTTATTAAAAATGTATGAAAATTCAAGGAACTATTCCTATTTTAGGATATTTTGTCCTTTGATGATTTTTGATAGGGCGCTTTCTTTCGAAGATACGTAGCGAAAAATAATTTCGACAATAACAATTTATTTTTAAAAATTACATGTAATGTTTCATAATCTACAAGAACTGTAGAAAATGACTACCCCCCGCTAGGATGCAAGAATCCAATCTTCTCCTCATCGACTCTCGAACTCTTTCAAAAACCCAGGATCGTTTCTGATTGCGTCACACCCAGCAATTATCCAATTTCTCAAATCTTCCATATATTTAAATGGAGTAGTATAAACTAATGCCTTTAGATTTTTTATTATTGGTAGGTCCAGTGTAGTACGCTATACTTTTATTTCGGCTACATTAATAATTTACAAATTACCAAAATTGTTATTATCGAAATTATTTTTCGCCCGGTATTTTCGAAACAAAGGGCCATATCAAAAATTAGAATAGTCCAAGGAATGGTCCCGTAATTTTTTTCTGCATGTTTAATAAACACTCTGTATGCCAGAATATTTATACCTCAATAACTCATCCTAAATCATTGTAATCCAGGTGCCAAGAAATCCCGATTCTTAGTTTGTAGAATTTGTACCAGAGGTGTTCAAAAAACACACTTTAATGTGAGATTTACATTTAACAGTTTACAAAACTGCGACATGTGTTTCGCTACACGAAAGCATCATCTGGCATCACAATACTGGCGTCAACGTATTCAAAAAACACTTAACAGTTTTACAAAAACGCAACATGTGTTTCGCCATACAATAGCTTCTTCGGGCGTGTACAGCGTGACACCAAACTTCCTCTCGTTCATTGGTGTTCCTTGTGATCCAAAGATCGTGTGTTAGAATCCCATGGATCTTATAATTTTTTTTTCATTACCAGCACTTTTGTACTATTGTACAAAAAGTTTGTATGATACATTTGTTGAAAGTGATTTCATTTTGCCAGGTATAGGGGACACGATATATAATCTTGAAGCATTTTTCATCATTCTTTCAATTTATCGAGTAATATCTAGGGGGTTTCATTTGAAAAAATCAAGTACACTTTTATGTATAATGGATATGATGGTAATTTTAGCAAGCCATGTATGATATGGATTCGATTTTTTGGCGTAAGTTAAATATTTTAGGTTTGTCCAAACTATCATCAAAATATCAACTTTTCATGAACCGAGAGTACTGGGGCTATTCAGGGCTATGTTTTGGACCTCATTTAGCACAAATTATTTTTTATCACGAAAACCGATAGATAGGCATAGGACATTATTAACAAAAAAGTATTATAATTGAAGAGCGATTCCAAAAATGTGGATCATAGACACTCGATAACACTTTTTTTTATATTTATTTTCTGGACCCGGAAGTCACGCAGTACCTGCGATGTGGTGATGTTAGGATATCCTAGAAATTCTAGGTCTCCTAATTGAAACCATAAATGCGGTAGGCTCATGTTGGTGACCCCGTTTTGCAACCAAGTGTTGCCATCTCTGCAGTTGTTTACACCGCGTTGATGAGGCCAATAGCCAGAAACACGTGTCTGCGGTTTGCCAATAATTGTTTTTCCGACTAATCCTTTTCTTTTTGATATAAATCATTGACATAGACCAATTTTGAGTAGAACCTTGATGTTTTGATTGTTTACAAAAAGGATTTGAAGTTTTCATAACTTCTAATTATTATATGCGAGCGCTTTCGATAGCAGACTGTGTCTTCTTCATGTCTCTACTCAAACTAAACGTTTTATCTTTTGTTTGTTCTTTTATACGGTTAGATCGCCCTAGTAAATTTGTTGATGCTTCATTAATTAGGGTTTGGGCAGGTATTTGTCCTCCCCTTTCATCCCGAGATCTCATTAAATTTGCCTGTACTTAGGTTACATAATATTCTTTGTGTTGGTGTCTCTCTAGGTTCATTTTTTCTAGGAATGTGTATTGTTTTGTGGAGTATATTGAATGTTAGGTCTTGTTGTGTTTTGATTTGTATTTGTTCTTCTATAAGTGAATAATGGCTTTTGAATTTATGGATGTTTAGGTTTTCCTATATATCTATAAGGTTTCCTTTATTGACTTGTTTATGAGTTTGATGTTTTCTGGTGGAGGAAAATGATGTTTGTTTTGTATGGCATGTGTGGCGAGATTTGATTTATATGTTAATGAGTTTATGTGTGCTTTTTTGTGCTCACCTTTGGATGAGTTTTTTCTTGGTTTGTCCGATATAGAATATGCTGCAGTCCGAGCATTGTATACTGTACACTCCATTTAGGTTTTTGTCTTCTTCACTTTCATAGCTGTTTTTTTTGTGTTATTTTCGGGTTGAGCTTGTGAGTGATGTTGATGTTTATCTATTCTTTTAGATATATCCAGATAAATTAGAAAATAGAATCAAACACAGAATACAGAACAAAGCTCACACTACTTCAACAGATAAAACAACACAAAGATGGACTGTATTCACATACATAGGTCACCAAACCAAAAAATTAACAAAAGGCAACTTTTCATTTATTTCTAGCAAAATTAAGGCTTGTATACAAATAAAGAAATACATAGTTTTCGGGTACTTAATATAACATTATAGCTGTTACAAAGCTAAAGACTAGTTAGTTTCACAATTTTCATTACGAAGAACAAAAAGTGAGATTTTGCAATATTTTTGTTAGTGAGCATAATCGAATTTTCAATTTTTCATATTTTTGGTTTCAATTCTTATTGCTTATTGATATGCGATCATTGTCAATATATAAATACAAAATGTGACAAAGCTGTAAAAAAATTCATGATGGGAGTTGATAGAATATTTATAAAAACTATCTCTGTAGAACTACTTTAAATATGGCTGATATAACATTATGAAGGTAGAATCTTCTGAAATATTACCAAAAATTCACGGGTAAATAAATTAAAATCTCATAACATTTGTTCCTGCTTGTTAAAGAAAGAATTGCAATTATAAAAAGTTTGAAGCTATTTTCAATTATGAATGTATTTGGTGAAGAATTTCTGGTAAATATTATTTCAAATAATTCACACAATATTTCTTATATACATACTAATTATCCTCTATATTTCTATATGGTTTCATGACATTTTTACTGTACATTTCATATGATTTATTTCTTTTCCTTGTACCCTCAAGGTTCCTCAAAATATATTTTTTTATAATTCATTCTTAACTGGGTCATTACAATATATTCAGAATAAAATTCGATAAGCTGATCTGATACTATGTAGATTTGCTCTTTTTAGAATGCTATTTGATACTTAGGAAAAATATAGTTTCAAATATCTTGTAAAATTTCTGATAACACACAGAGGGGCAGTCTCAATTACTTAAAGACTTTGTTTCATTAGTATATGTCTGTATATAAACAGTTTATCAACTGTTTTAATGGGAATTGTTTTATATTAACATAATCTCAGTAACTGCTGTGCTATTAGATACTTGAAACTATGTTACAACTAATTATTTTAATAAAACCTTTCAAGTAAAAAATGTATATAAGCTAACAACTGATTTGAAAATATAATAATTTGAATAACTAATTTTATAATTGAATTATAGAATAGATCAATCACAGACAATTCTCGAAATAATTTAAAAGGGTTAGATATATATCTTATAGTGTACTATCTACATTCTCTCATAATGCTAGAACTCTTTCCTTACTATATCACTCGTTAGGTGTATTAGGACACACCATTAAAAGATGCATGGATAGATTTTGATATTTATTTTTTCAATTTGAAAAAGAATCAGAAGAGAAAATATACCCATGTCAAAATTATCAGTGTGTGAACTGAGTAAGTAATTTTTCATTTGAAAAATGAGAAATGAAAATTAATTTTTTTTACCTATTTTATGAAAGTGGTAAAGAACATAGAAATTTTCATTTCTTATTTGTCATGATGATCTACCACGTAGTAACGACTACATCCATCAATTTATTGAATTTTGCAAGTGATTCCAATAAATATGAGTAACTTAGTAAAGCTATTCTTCAAGGAAGCATGCTTTCAAATGTACAAAACGAGAGTCTGAACACTCTAACAAAATAAATCAGCATGCTTTCTATAAATATATAAAAAATTTCATAAAATACTTTTGAAAGTTCAAACATCTTCAATTGGCAACTGGAAAATAACTAATACAAAAACATGAGTTACTAACATTCTACAAACAGTCTCATGAGGACTCCTTTGAATATAATACATACAGTCTGACAAGTTTCCTATGACAATATTCATTACAAAAAACCAGAAAAACTTTATTCCCAATATGCAGTTCCAAACTGTTTGCAACTTTACAATATCACATTTTACTACTTCAACTTCATGAATTACATAAGCATATATAGTTTCTCCGACTTTTTAATTATCTGCATCTCCTTTCAATTATACCCAAATATGGTCGATGAGAAAAACATCTGAATATAATTTCTGAAATGAATTTATAATTTTAGATAACCTCTCTGTTTTTAGATTTTCTTGTAGTCATTTCAAATGTTCTATCCAATTTTGTGCAACATTTATGTTCTCAAAAAACAATAGAAAGTTTTCAAGATCATCTCTATGTCTACTATCAACAATTTCTTTTACATAAAACGATTCTCTCATATTAAACAATGGCACCTCTCCTGATGAAGCCTATCCATATAAATATCTTATTATAACTTTAACAGCAAATAGAAAACTTACTTTATCTTTCTTATCAATCTGAGAACACGAATATCTCTATCACTCAAGTCTACAAAATCTTTCTTTGTACAAAAATACTTTCAGTTAGTAAATCCTCCAGTGAAAAACCATGCAGACTAATAACATTGGTATCATTGTATAATGAGTAACTGGACTGCAACAACCACTTCCCACTATTGTAACAGTCGGTGTTTGGACATTTGTTGTTTTAGTACCACCTGATGAATCTCTGGGGGAACTGTCATCTGTTTTTCCAATATCGTCTGAAAATGAGTGAATATGGTATTAATTACTGTTCACACAGTGTGTCTCAAGTTGTTTCAGGGAGATCCTTGATTATTCGAGTATATCAAATTGTCTAAAAGAACGATTCGTTCAGGCTAGTTTTAAATTACATACACTGTAGGTTAATGGACTGACACACACATACACATAAATATACATACACACACATATATACGTATGGTGATGTTAGATGATGCCTGGGTATTCTAGGTCTTCTAATTGAAACCACAAATGTGCGATTAGCACATGTTGTCCATCTTTGCAATTGGCTGCACCGCGCTGATGAGGCCACTAGCCAGAAACACGTGTACGCGGTTTGCCCCTATTTTTATGATCACGAGCGAGACATAAGTGGAACCACCTATTGATGTGACACCCAAGTCAACTTGCCAAGTTATTTTATCATGAACTTGGTAGTCCTGGTAGTTATGTCAAGTTTTTAGTCATTCGGTAGCTACAGCGATGAATACTTAGCCAGTTTCAATCAGATACCATCAGCAGCAATGGACCTACATTCATTGAAAAAATGGATAAAGTGTTCGATATTTCAAATTCAAATCGATTTGACGATGTCAAAGATTTCAATAAACCGTTTTTCGCAACATCAAAACAAATTGATTATCTGAAAGAAATTAGATTCAAATGGACAAATGAGATTCATTAAGGGGTGCCAGGTAACAATTTCGGCATTTCTGCAACTTTGGAAAAAACTAAATGTGAAGGACACAATATATTGACGACGAATATAAATCAGGACTGTGTAGAAAATCATTTTGCTCAATGAGAAATACTTGTGAAAATGCCAGAAACCCAACTCCTATTCAAATTACCGAATCACCAAACACATTTACTCTTCAGTATTTCACACAGGCAGAAGGTTTCAACTGTCTGGAAGATACTAGTGAGATTCTATCCGATATTACAGAAATATAATGAAGATTCTTGTGGAAGTTCCAAAAAATCCCTATAAACCTTTGAGAGTAGAGACAAATGATTATAGAACTCTAGCCACTCCCGAAGGCAACAGCTTGGGCTATGATTGTGGATATCTATTGAGAAAATGTTTAAGAAAGTATGTAAAAATTTTGCCACGGCGGCTGGTACCACACTGAATGAAACAAATATATAGTTATCTTAAGACATACAGAAGCTAAACAGTTTGGAAGTTTATATATGCCTCCAGATTCATTTTTACAAAGTATCATTAATCTAGAGACATAATTTCATAATCATTTTAACAAATTAATTTCCAGTGATTGCATAGGCAACCAGCTCAAAACAATGTTTTCAAAAATCAACATTTCTCACCCTTGTGATAATTTTCCTTTGGATTTTTTATTTTCTCTTTTCTCAAGGGTATGAATTCATTATATTTTGAAATTTGCCAAGAGAAATTTGAAAAAAAATGTAAAAAAAATCAAAAACTCATCATTCTGAAAAATCTTTAGAATAGATTTGCATAAGTTTTTCACCTAAATTGTATAATCTTACTTTACAAAATATACGATTATTTAACCACCTTGTCTTATTTTTTATCAATTCCTAAACAGTTCACAATTATATGAGACATTTATTGTGAACTCCCCCTAGCAATGATGAGGTCAGATCATGGTAACATATTTTTTGATCGAACCTCCTGCAGAGGTGCACAATAGCTCTTTCCGACACCTTCCACGGATACAAAGAGAGATTTTATCGAGTGGGTATGATATAAAAATCAAAAATGAAACAATTAGTGGACACAACACTGCACCGCGCTGATGAGGCCAATAGCCAGAAACACGTGTCCGCGGTTTGCCCCCATATTTCTTGAGTGTTCTGGAGTGGGCCAAATTGGAC